AGTGTTAGTAAGATATCATCAGCGTATAGGTTGGTTTTGAAGTCATGACCACTCCAAATGATACCACTTATATCCTCCTTAGCTCTAATAGCACAGGCAAGGGGCTCTAGTGCCAAAATGAACATAGTTGGGGACGACGGGCAGCCCTGCCTTGTAGAATGGAAAAGCTGAAAGGGGTCAGATATTACAGTATGCCATTCGTTTTTTAACTGAACCAGTAGGTTCATGATAGAGTGCCCTAATCCACTGCATAATAACAGGCCCAATCTAGTGTATAAAACAGATAAGGCCATACTATTCGATCAAAAGCTTTCTCTGCATCCAGTGATACTGCTACAGCTGGATGCTGGAGAGAGCTAGCCCCTGACATAACATGAAAAAGTATCCTCATGTTGTTGGAGGATAGGCCACCTGGTACAAACCCCACCTGGTCCAGGTGTATAAAGCGCAGGGCACGGATCTAAGAGATAGAAATATGGATTGGCAGTCCTTCATCTCAGCCTTGTAGCCTCTGAATGTTGTACATTCTACCCCTGTAAACATAACATACTGTACACTCCCCTCAGCCCCCTCCCCTCTAAAGGTCAGAGCAACATAAATTTGGTCCGTTTTCAAGCATCGTCTCAGCCAATGAGCGTCCACGGTGCTGGCTATGGGGCGGCAACACCCTATACTACATGGCAAAAAGTGATTTGAACTGAAATGGAATTTGGGACAAAGCCCTGGTTAACAGAGGTAGAAATGGTCTCATTACATAATCAAAGGTAGGTTAGGGTACGCCTGTGAGAAAAGGCTTTCCTCCAACAGGTGGGTGACAACAGGGGCCAACCAACGATACTATATTGAGGGTGGTTACGGTGTTATCACAGGCCAAAGCACACATTCTCTCATAGTAAGTGAAGTAAGCCTTGGACAAGTAAGTCTCCTGTCTCTGTAACATGAGTGATGCAGCTTGATGTACAAGTACACCCCCTGGACTCCAGTAGCCTACAAGTACACCCCCTGGACTCCAGTAGCCTACAAGTACACCCCCTGGACAGGATGCTAGTAGCCTACAAGGACACCCCCTGGACAAAACGCTAGTAGCCTACAAGGACACCCCCTGGACAGAACGCCAGTAGCCTACAAGTACACCCCCTGGACAGGACGCCAGTAGCCTACAAGGACACCCCCTGGACAGGACACCAGTAGCCTACAAGGACACCCCCTGGACAGGACGCCAGTAGCCTACAAGGACACCCCCCTGGACAGGACGCCAGTAGCCTACAAGGACACCCCCTGGACAGGACGCCAGTAGCCTACAAGGACACCCCCTGGACAGGACGCCAGTAGCCTACAAGGACACCCCCTGGACAGGACGCCAGTAGCCTACAAGGACACCCCCTGGACAGGACGCCAGTAGCCTACAAGTACACATCCTATGATACAGGCTAGAAAACAGCAGAAGCAGGTCAGCAACAACAGGTGTCCTTTCCCCCAAAGTCACTACCACCAGTGGTATTACACCCCTGGTCCCGGCTCAATCCCGCCAGATTTACCCACGTCAGTCCTGCAGTTACTGGCCAACTCTCTAGCCTATAGGCTACTGCCACCCTTCATTACCCATCATACAGAGCAGATGCATAACATCAACAAACCCCAACATCGCCATAATACCACCATACTCAAACTATAGGCTACAGTAGGCCTATGAGGCAAAGCCTGTAACCTGACTGTGACCATTGGGTGCTACTGAACAGTATTTTGATAATAAATACTTCAAAATGGTTCTAATCCCCGAGCCGACTAGGTGAAAGATCTGTCGATGTGCCCTTGAGCAAGGCACTTAACCCTAATTGCTCATGTAAGTCGCTCTGGATAAGAGCGTCTGCTAAATGACAAAAAATAAATAAATAAATAAATAAATAAAATAAAGTATAGAGAGGAACAGACAGAGAAACAGAGAGAGAAACGGAGAGAGAGAGAAAGAGAGAGAAACAGAGAGAAATAGAGAGAAACAGAGAGAGAACAGAGAGAGAAACATAGATATAAAAAGAGAGAAACAGAGAGAGAAACAGAGAGAGAAACCAGAGAGAAAGAAACAGAGAGAAACAGAGAGAGAAACAGAGAGACATTTGTGGTCATAAAGGCTGCAAAGGGGGCACTGTGTGTAATTACAGAGAAGGAGAAACTACCTTACAAAAGTAGCTTTGCTAGGCCCAGCTGTCAACATTTCTTCTCTCCACTTAATTTAGATTTTCCCCGTTATCTATACATTTACATATACAGTATATCATGTTCAAAAAATTACCTATAGAGGGCAGCGGCACATTTTTGAGAAATGTACTCCAAAAGACTGCCTCGAAGAAGAATTGGGCCATACCACAGATAGAACAATGAGACAGATATTTCACCGGATGCATAAATGTGAAGCTTCTGCTTGGCGTTTCCACTCACTACCAAATATGGTAATGAAAGGAAGCCCACTGGCCGGTAGTGAGAGAAGATGGAAGGAGACGGATTTTGACCGACATTCTGTTAGTTCTCTCATCTATTAAACATTTGATCTCAATACAGTTTTTGGTTCCCAAAACTAGAATCTACTATGAACAGAGTGGACTACGATTTGTAGACTTTACCCTTTGCCAAAGTTGTAAAAAAAATCGCGTTGTTTAGAAGGAGTGCAAAGGCGAATTTAGTTATTGCACACGCGCACTGCACGGAGTAGGCGTCCTCTAACGAAAATATGCAGATATGTGCTACAACAGGCCAATAGGATGTCGCTAGCTCGATCTTGGCTCTGCCCACCTCCTCGCTTGTTCTGTCCACTATGGTTTAGTTGTTCCCATTGGAAACGACAGGCTGTGGTCTATCTGGGTTTAGTTATAAAAAAAACTTTGGCCATACCATATGATATCATATCCGGTTAACATGGCTCACTGTTTGTTGGCGGGAATTGTACGATAATCCGCAGTTGGCTGGCTAGTAGGACCTGTAGATCTTTATTTTGGTTGAGCTAAAATCATTGTTCATCATTGCACTTTTTCGTCAAGTGAAAATGTCTCGTGTGCTGAACTGCATTGTGGCTGTCTGTCCTGATATGGGGATTGGAAATAACGGGAATCTACCATGGCACCCGAAGAGACTCAAGTAAGTAGCCTAGCTAACTAACGTCGTTTGCCTCATTCATTTAGTTTCAACAGCTAGCTAAGCCATCTACAACAATAGCCTATACACAGCATCTCTGTTTCAACTAGCTGGCAACGAATGGCAAGCTAACAACAGTGTTGAAATGCCGTATATTGATCTATTGATGTGTGGCACAGAAATCTAGCAAGAAATCAGAATAGTCAGCTGCTGATGCAACAAGGAATGACAACGTTGGGATCCAAAGTCCAGGGTTGCTCAAGTTAACGTCATGGCATATGATGATCTGAACTTGAAGTCATAATTTCTGTAGTTTACCGATAAAATAGACAGTTTTTCTACATTCTCGCTGGCCTGTTGTTTTTCATGTCTCACGTACAGTAATGATGTTGACTTCTTTTACAGTAATGAATTTAAGTATTTCCAGAAGATGACAATGACGTCATCAGTGGAAGGTACAGTCAGTTTCCATACATTTTACATTTTACGTTTGACCTTTTAGTCATTTAGCAGACGCTCTTATCCAGAGCGACTTACAGTTAGTACATTCATCTTAAGATAATGTAGCTAGGTGGGACAACCACTTATCACAGGCATAGAAAGTAACATTTTCCTCAATAAAGTATCTATCAGTAGAGTCAGAGCTGGGTGGGTGGGTGGGGGGGTCAAGTGCAAGTTCTGGTTCAGGTTATTAATATTTTTAACAATGCAGTGTAAATCACATGAGCTTGCTCAGTACACGGATACAGTCATTGGCTGGTTCAGTTGTTAACACTGACAGTTGTAAACATTAAACTGTATTGTTAATGACCACTAGGTGACAGTATAGCAACACGTGCACAGTATCACGAGATATTATTTAAAAGGGCAATTCCGCCACTTTTTAACCTCGTATTCATCCTCTCCAGCATCAAACCGTTTCCGTTATCGGTGGTTAAAAACACAAGAAGAAAGGTCCTAAAAAAATGCCTCTCTGTGACATCACAGGGTAGGATTAAAAGTAAAAAAAAACTGATTTTCAAAACCTGCAACTAGTTTCTAGCCCAAGGGAGAGTATTTTATTGCTCCCCAGGGCACCGCGAATCTCAGTGTTTGAAAATCACTGTTTTTATATTGTTATCTTTGATGATGTCATCGGTTAGAACTTTTTAACTTTATTGTTTTTCCTACAAAACTTGGAAATGCGCTGTTTTCCCATATGTAGACACTAGTATTGTGCTGGAGATGATGAACATGAAGTTAAAAAGTGGTGGAGTTGCTCTTTAATAATAAAAAAAACCTTGACACTTTCCCTGCAGTGATAGGGTATTCTTATTAATGTTTAACACAGTCATGGTCGAAAAGAGTATACCGGTACATACCCTCACTGCTTTTACAGTACTGAGTCCAAAGTCAGGAGCATCTATATAACATCTAGCACATCACATGAGCTGAGCACCTTTATCACATGTTCTGTCATCATCAAATGTCATTCCCCTGTCCTTTTCTGGATGACTTTGCTCACTATATTCCAGTCCTGGAGGTGCTAAACGACTTCTGGTTTTTCGTTCTACCTGGTGGTTAATTGCACCCACCTGGTGCCCCAGGTCTGAATCAGGCTTAGATTAAAATAAGAGGATGAAGACAATAATTGTTTTGGCCCTTCAGTTCCGGAATCAAACAGTCCTGAGCTAGACTGTAGGCCAGGCCTAGACCTGAGACATGGCCTCCATAGACGCCATAGCAGGCCACAGCCATGTCTCGGGGCTGTGTAGGACCCCAAGATATTCTTGACCAGGGGAAACTCATCTCTGTCTGGGATTGGTTAGGTAAACAGAATGTTGTCATCATCTCTGTCTGGGATTGGTTAAATAGGTAAACAGAATGTTGTCATCATGGGGCGGAAGACGTGGTTCTCTATTCCAGAGCGGAACCGGCCACTCAAGAACCGGATCAACATCGTTCTCAGCAGAGAACTTAAGTAAGAGGCATGGAGGACATCAGTAATGACAGTCACTTACCAGCTACTAATTTCTATACAATGTGTTCATCATCCTGTGTTATCTGTAATGGGCATCATATAGTGAAGATTGTCTTCCTCTGTGTATCTATTTGTGTCATACGTGACAATGTAATACTGAAAGCCATTGAATACTATGAACCAAAACACATTGTAACTACTATGTTGTTCTAACATTACTACTATGTTGCCCTAACATTACTACTATGTTGCCCTAACATTACTACAATGTTGCCCTAACATTACTACAATGTTGCCCTAACATTACTACAATGTTGCCCTAACATTACTACAATGTTGCCCTAACATTACTACAATGTTGCCCTAACATTACTACAATGTTGCCCTAACATTACTACAATGTTGCCCTAACATTACTACAATGTTGTGTGAATGTCAGAGAGCCTCCAGCCGGGGCTCACCACCTGGCGTCAGACTTCAGCTCAGCACTCCGCCTGCTGGACACAGCTGAGATGGCAGAACGGGCCGACCAGGTCTGGGTGATCGGGGGCAGCTCCCTGTACAAGGTAAGAAATACACAGGCCTTAGCCATTAGTCCTTCATGTAGAGGATTGGATAGGGGTCCATTTGGAATAGGTCAACAGTCTCTGAGATGTGGCCCTTGCACCAGATGGGAACTTGTGTGGAGGGATGTGTTCATAAAGAAAGACTTGTAGAGAAATGGGGTTTGAGTGAGTGGGAGTTTTGAAACTGTTTACTAGAGCGGGAACTTCTTTAGTGTTCTTTACGTATTTTACCTCAGTAACCTGTGACGCAAGACATCATTGACGACCTTGGTGCATTTTCCAATGTCTCAACTGCATTCTCCGCTGTCAAAAACACTTTTCAGTTATGCTATTTGTCCACTAAGCTGAACGAAATTGAGTAGTAGAAAAGTTAACACGCGCACACACAGCTCCGCACAGACACACAGCTCCACACAGACACACAGCTCCGCACAGACACACAGCTCCACACAGACACACAGCTCCACACAGACACACAGCTCCACACAGACACACAGCTCCGCACAGACACACAGCTCCGCACAGACACACAGCTCCGCACAGACACACAGCTCCACACAGACACACAGCTCAGCACAGACACACAGCTCCACACAGACACACAGCTCCACACAGACACACAGCTCCACACAGCTCCGCACAGACACACAGCTCCCACACAGACACACAGCTCCACACAGACACACACAGCTCCACACAGACACACACAGCTCCACACAGACACACACAGCTCCGCACAGACACACACAGCTCCGCACAGACACACACAGCTCCGCACAGACACACAGCTCCGCACAGACACACAGCTCCGCACAGACACACAGCTCCGCACAGACACACAGCTCCGCACAGACACACAGCTCCGCACAGACACACAGCTCCGCACAGACACACAGCTCCGCACAGACACACAGCTCCACACAGACACACAGCTCCACACAGACACACACAGCTCCGCACAGACACACAGCTCCACACAGACACACACAGCTCCACACAGACACACAGCTCCACACAGACACACACAGCTCCACACAGCTCCACACAGACACACAGCTCCACACAGACACACACAGCTCCACACAGACACACACAGCTCCACACAGACACACACAGCTCCACACAGACACACACAGCTCTACACAGACACACACAGCTCCGCACAGACACACAGCTCCGCACAGACACACAGCTCCGCACAGACACACAGCTCCGCACAGACACACAGCTCCACACAGACACACAGCTCCACACAGACACACAGCTCCACACAGACACACAGCTCCACACAGACACACAGCTCCACACAGACACACAGCTCCGCACAGACACACAGCTCCACACAGACACACAGCTCCACACGTGCACACACACACACACACACCTCCACACCCAGCGTCCCTCATACCTTTCTTCCTTCCTCGGCAGTCGGTAGGTTGTCATGGAGACCTCATCGCTCAAGGATACTTTTGACAATACAGCACACAAGCTCTGTTCACTTCTCCACACACACACTCTCCACCTCATATCCGTATCTAAAGGGTTGACTCTTTTTAAAGGTTACGTTTGGGACTTTCAAGACCTTGACTATTTTCCATTTAACCACATAGCCTTGTTATGAACACACACAAACTGTCTGGGTCGATCTACAATGGGGCATTTCAGTAGAAAATAACGTCCAGGTCTACTGTCATGCGTTTCAGAGTAAGAGTGCTGATCTAAGATCAGGTCCCCCCCCCCCCCCCCCCCCCCCCCCCGCCCCCCCCGTCCGCCCCCCGCCCCCCGTCCCCCCGTCCATAATACATCTGATTCATTATGATCTAAAAGGCAAACTGATCCTAGATCAGTACTCCTACTCTGAAACGATTGACAAATGTGGGTCCAGGTCTTAGAATCCCAAACGTATACTTTCAGTGTATTTATTTGTTGTCTGGTTCCCCAGGAGATGATGGAGAGTCAGGGGACCAGGAGGTTGTTTGTGACACAGATCCTGCAGCAGTTTAAGAGTGACACCTTCCTGCCTGAAATCAACCAAGACAAATACCGCCTACTGCCAGAGTGAGTTTCACACACGCATGTATGCCTTCGAAAAGTATTCAGACACCTTCCCTTTTTACACATTTTGTTACGTTACACATCCTTATCCTAAAATGGATTCAAAAAATAAGGTCGTCATCAATCTAAACACAATACCCCATAACGACAAATTGAAAACAGGTTTTTATAAATTTTTGCAAATGTATTGAAAGAAAAAAATAATAATAATGGCCTCCATCATTCTTAAATGGAAGAAGTTTGGAACCACCAAGACTCTTCCTAGAGCTGGCTGCCCAGCCACACTGAGCAATCGGGGGAGAAGGGCCTTGGTCAGGGAGGTGACCAGGAACCCGATGGTCACGCTGACAGAGCTCCAGAGTTCCTCTGTGGTGATGGGAGAACCTTCCAGAAGGACAACCATCTCTGCAGCACTCCACCAATCAGGCCTTTATGGTAGAGTGGCCACTCCTCAGTAAAAGGCACATGACAGCCCGCTTGGAGTTTGCCAAAAGGCACCTAAAGACTCTCAGACCATGAGAAACAATATTATCTGGTCTGATGAAACCAAGATTGAACTCTTTGGCCTAAATGCCAAGCGTCACGTCTGGAGGAAACCTGGCACCATCCCTACGGTGAAGCATGGTGGTGGCAGCATCATGATGTGGGGATGTTTTTCAGCAGCAGGGACTGGGAGACTAGTCAGGATCGAGGCAAAGATGAACGGAGCAAAGTACAGAGAGATCCTTGATGAAAACCTGCTCCAGAGCGCTCAGGACCTCAGACTGGGGTGAAGGTTCACCTTCCAACAAGACAACGACCCTAGGCACACAGCCAAGACAACGCAGGAGGGGCTTCGGGACAAGTCTCTGAATGTCCTTAAGTGGCCCAGCCAGAGCCCGGACTTGAACCCGATCAAACATCTCTGGAGAGACCTGAAAATAGCTGTGCAGCGACGCTCCCCATCCAACTTGACAGAGCTTGAGAGGATCTGCAGAGAAGAATGGGAGAAACTCCCCAAATACAGATGTGCCAAGCTTGTAGCATCATACACAAGAAGACTCAAGGCTGTAATCACTGCCAAAGGTGCTTCAACAAAGTACTGAGTAAAGGGTCAGAATACTTATGTAAATGTGATATTTCATTTTTTTCATTTGCAAAAAAATAAAAATAAACTGTTTTTGCTTTGTCATTATGGGGTATTGTGTGTAGATTAATGGGGGGGGGGGACTATTTAATTCATTTTAGAATAAGGCTGTAACGTAACAAAAGGTCAAGGGTTCTGAATACTTTCCGAATGCACTGTACGTGCATGCACACACACACAGCATGGATACACTTTACTAAAATCAAATCAAGCTTTATTTCTTATAGGAGATGCATTTCAATCAAAGGTGTGAAAAATCAAAACAATACGTTTTCTAAAAATGGGAAATTAAAATGCTAAAACAATAATAAAATAACAGTGGACATGAGAGACGAATGCGTAAAAATAAATCAGATGTATAGAACGGGATAAATCAAATAGATAGTATGACTGACTAAAAGAACCCTAAGAACCCTAAGAACCCTAACCCAAAGAACCATAAGAACCCTAACCCTAAGAACCCTAACAACCCTAAGAACCCTAACCCTAAGAAGAACCCTCAGTAGTTTACTCCAATTAGGGAAGGGGTGGTGGGGTTGGAATGTAATAAAGGGAAATATATATTTTTAAAGGATATGTATGTATTTGTGTGTGTGTGTATGTATGTACAGTGAGGGAAAAAAGTATTTGATCCCCTGCTGATTTTGTATGTTTGCCCACTGACAAAGAAATGATCAGTCTATAATTTTAATGGTAGGTTTATTTGAACAGTGAGAGACAGAATAACAACAACAAAATCCAGAAAAACGCATGTCAAAATTTTTATAAATTGATTTGCATTTTAATGAGGGAAATAAGTATTTGACCCCCTCTCAATCAGAAAGATTTCTGGCTCCCAGGTGTCTTTTATACAGGTAACGAGCTGAGATTAGGAGCACACTCTTAAAGGGAGTGCTCCTAATCTCAGTTTGTTACCTGTATAAAAGACACCTGTCCACAGAAGCAATCAATCAGATTCCAAACTCTCCACCATGGCCAAGACCAAAGAGCTCTCCAAGGATGTCAGGGACAAGATTGTAGACCTACACAAGGCTGGAATGGGCTACAAGACCATCGCCAAGCAGCTTGGTGAGAAGGTGACAACAGTTGGTGCGATTATTCGCAAATGGAAGAAACACAAAATAACTGTCAATCTCCCTCGGCCTGGGGCTCCATGCAAGATCTCAACTCGTGGAGTTGCAATGATCATGAGAACGGTGAGGAATCAGCCCAGAACTACACGGGAGGATCTTGTTAATGATCTCAAGGCAGCTGGGACCATAGTCACCAAGAAAACAATTGGTAACACACTACGCCGTGAAGGACTGAAATCCTGCAGCGCCCGCAAGGTCCCCCTGCTCAAGAAGGCACATATACAGGGCCGCCTGAAGTTTGCCAATGAACATCTGAATGATTCAGAGGAGAACTGGGTGAAAGTGTTGTGGTCAGATGAGACTAAAATCGAGCTCTTTGGCATCAACTCAACTCGCCGTGTTTGGAGGAGGAGGAATGCTGCCTATGACCCCAAGAACACCATCCCCACCGTCAAACATGGAGGTGGAAACATTATGCTTTGGGGGTGTTTTTCTGCTAAGGGGACAGGACAGCTTCACCGCATCAAAGGGACGATGGACAGGGCCATGTACCGTCAAATCTTGGGTGAGAACCTCCTTCCCTCTGCCAGGGCATTGAAAATGGGTCGTGGATGGGTATTCCAGCATGACAATGACCCAAAACACACGGCCAAGGCAACAAAGGAGTGGCTCAAGAAGAAGCACATTAAGGTCCTGGAGTGGCCTAGCCAGTCTCCAGACCTTAATCCCATAGAGAATCTGTGGAGGGAGCTGAAGGTTCGAGTTGCCAAACGTCAGCCTCGAAACCTTATGACTTGGAGAAGATCTGCAAAGAGGAGTGGGACAAAATCCCTCCTGAGACGTGTGCAAACCTGGTGGCCAATTACAAGAAACGTCTGACCTCTGTGATTGCCAACAAGGGTTTTGCCACCAAGTACTAAATCATGTTTTGCAGAGGGGTCAAATACTTATTTCCCTCATTAAAATGCAAATCAATTTATAACATTTTTGACATGCGTTTCTCTGGATTTTTGTTGTTGTTATTCTGTCTCTCACTGTTCAAATAAACCTACCATTAAAATTATAGACTGATCATGTCTTTGTCAGTGGACAAACGTACAAAATCAGCAGGGGATCAAATATTTTTTCCCTCGTGTATATATATTACACACGCACATGCATACATACAGTGGGGAGAACAAGTATTTGATACACTACCGATTTTGCAGGTTTTCCTACTTACAAAGCATGTAGAGGTCTGTAATTTTTATCATAGGTACACTTCAACTGTGAGAGACGGAATCTAAAACAAAAATCCAGAAAATCACATTGTATGATTTTTAAGTAATTAATTTGCATTTTATTGCATGACATAAGTATTTGATACATCAGAAAAGCAGAACTTAATATTTGGTAAAGAAACCTTTGTTTGCAATTACAGAGATCATACGTTTCCTGTAGGTCTTGACCAGGTTTGCACACACTGCAGCAGGGATTTTGGCCCACTCCTCCATACAGACCTTCTCCAGATCCTTCAGGTTTCGGGGCTGTCACTGGGCAATACGGACTTTCAGCTCCCTCCAAAGATTTTCTATTGGGTTCAGGTCTGGAGACTGGCTAGGCCACTCCAGGACCTTGAGATGCTTCTTACGGAGCCACTCCTTAGTTGCCCTGGCTGTGTGTTTCAGGTCGTTGTCATGCTGGAAGACCCAGCCACAACCCATCTTCAATGCTCTTACTGAGGGAAGGAGGTTGTTGGCCAAGATCTTGCGATACATGGCCCCATCCATCCTCCCCTCAATACGGTGCAGTCGTCCTGTCCCCTTTGCAGAAAAGCATACCCAAAGAATGATGTTTCCACCTCCATGCTTCACGGTTGGGATGGTGTTCTTGGGGTTGTACTCATCCTTCTTCTACCTCCAAACACGGCGAGTGGAGTTTAGACCAAAAAGCTCTATTTTTGTCTCATCAGACCACATGACCTTCTCCCATTCCTCCTCTGGATCATCCAGATGGTCATTGGCAAACTTCAGACGGGCCTGGACATGCGCTTGCTTGAGCAGGGGGACCTTGCGTGCGCTGCATGATTTTAATCCATGACGGTGTAGTGTGTTACTAATGGTTTTCTTTGAGACTGTGGTCCCAGCTCAGGTCATTGACCAGGTCCTGCCGTGTAGTTCTGGGCTGATCCCTCACCTTCCTCATGATCATTGATGCCCCACGAGGTGAGATCTTGCATGGAGCCCCAGACCGAGGGTGATTGACCGTCATCTTGAACTTCTTCCATTTTCTAATAATTGCGCCAACGGTTGTTGCCTTCTCACCAAGCTGCTTGCCTATTGTCCTGTAGCCCATCCCAGCCTTATGCAGGTCTACAATTTTATCCCTGATGTCCTTACACAGCTCTCTGGTCTTGGCCATTGTGGAGAGGTTGGAGTCTGTTTGAGTGTGTGGACAGGTGTCTTTTATACAGGTAATGAGAGGAGAACAGGAGGGCTTCTTAAAGAAAAACTAACAGGTCTGTGAGAGCCGGAATTCTTACTGGTTGGTAGGTGATCAAATACTTATGTCATGCAATAAAATGCAAATTAATTATTTTAAAATCATACAATGTGATTTTCTGGATTTTTGTTTTAGATTCCGTCTCTCACAGTTGAAGTGTACCTATGATAAAAATTACAGACCTCTACATGCTTTGTAAGTAGGAAAACCTGCAAAATCGGCAGTGTATCAAATACTTGTTCTCCCCACTCTATATATACATACATACATACATACATACATACATACATACATACATACATACATACATACATACATACATACATACATACATACATACATACATACATACATACATACATACATACATACATACATACATACATACATACATACATACATACATACATACAGTGGATATAAAAAGTATCCACACCCCTGTTAAAATGCCAGGTTTTTGTGATGTAAAAGAATGAGACAAAGATAAGTCATGTCAGAACTTTTTCCACCTTTAATGTGACCTATAACGGGAACAATTCAATTGAAAAACAAACTGAAATCTTCAAGAGGGGAAAAATGAAAAATAAAAAGCTTACAATAACCTGGTTGCATCAGTGTGCACACCCTCTTATAACTGGGGATGTGGCTGTGTTCAGAATTAACCAATCACATTCAAACTCATGTTAAATAGAAGTCATTACACACCTGCCATCATTTAGTGACTCTGATTAATCACAAATAAAGTTTAAGCTGTTCTAGTAGGATTTTCCTGACATTTTCTTAGTTGCATCTCAGACCAAAAGCCATGTTCCGCAGAGAGCTTCCAAAGCATCAGAGGGATCTCATTGTTGAAAGATATCAGTCAGGAGAAGGTTACAAAATAATTTCCAAAGCATTACATATACCATGGAACACAGTGAAGACAGTCATCATCAAGTGGAGAAAATATGGCACAACAGAGACATTACCAAGAACTGGACGTCCCTCCATAATATATGAAAAGACGAGAACTGGTCAGGGAGGCTTCCAAGAGGCCTACAGCAACATTAAAGGAACTGCAGGAATTTCTGGCAAGCTGTGTGCTACATGTGACAACAATCTCCCGTATTCTTCATATGAATGGGCTATGGGGTAGGGTGGCAAGACGGAAGCCTTTTCTTACAAAGAAAAACATCCAAGCCCGGCTGAAGTTTGCAAAAAACAAACATCAAGTCCCCCAAAAGCACGTGGGAAAATGTGTTATGGTCTGATGAAACCAAGGTTGAACTTTTTGGCCATAATTCCAAAAGGTATGTTTTGCGCAAAAACAACACTGCACATCACCCAAAGAACACCATACCCACAGTGAAGCATGGTGGTGGCAGCATCATGCTTTGGGGCTGTTTTTTCTTCAGCTGGAACCGGGGCCTTAGTCAGGGTGGAGGGAATTATGAACAGTTCCAAATACCAGGCAATTTTGGCACAAAACCTTCAGGCGTCCGTTAGAAAGCTGAAGATGAAGAGGAAGTTCACCTTTCAGCACGACAACGACCCGAAGCACACATCCAAATCCACAAAAGCATTGCTTCACCAGAAGAAGATTAACGTTTTGGAATGGCCCAGCCAGAGCCCAGACCTGAATCCAATTGAACATCTCTGGGGTGAACTGAAGAGGGCTGTGCACAGGAGATGTCCTCGCAATCTGACAGATTTGGAGCGCTTTTGCAAAGAATAGTGGGCAAATATTGCCACGTCAAGATGTGCCCTGCTAATAGACTCCGACCCAAAAAGACTGAGTGCTGTAATAAAATCAAAAGGTGCTTCAACAAAGTATTAGTTTAAGGGTGTGCACACTTATGCAACCAGGTTGTGAGTTTTTAATTTTTCCCCCTCAAAGATTTTTGTTTTTCAATTGAATTGTTCCCATTATAGGTCACATTAAAGGTGGAAAAAGTTCTGACATGACTTATCTTTGTCTCATTCTTTTACATCACAAAAACCTGGCATTTTAACAGGGCTGTGGAGACTTTTTATATATATAGACTTTTTATATATATAGACTTTTTATATATATATATAGTGAGCTCCATAATTCATTGGACAGTGACCATTGTTTTGTTATTTTGGTTCTGTACTCTAGCACTTTGAGTTTGAAAGGATACAATGACAATGAGCGTGAAGTGCAGACTGTCAGCTTTAATTTGAGGGTATTTTCATACATATCGGATGAACCGTTTAGAAATGACAGCACCTTTTGTACATGGTCCCCCCATTTTAAGGTACTACAAGTATTTGTTAAATTGGCTTCACAGATGTGTGTCGTTAGGCAGGTGTATTCATTTGTGTCGTTAGTGAATGCAGGAGAGCTGTTGATGAATAGTAATGATTCTAGACGTTGCTATTGCCTTTGGAGGTTGTTATTGGGGTGTGACAACATGAGGAAGACAGCAGTGTCGATGCAAATGAAGTTGGCCGTCAAAAGGCTCAGAAATGAAAATCAATCATTCAGGAACATTGCAAAAACCCTGGCCATGCCCAAGTCAACAGTTTTGTTCATCGTTAACAAGAAAAAAAACAACCGGTGAACTCAATTATGTCAAAAGACCCGGTAGACAGAGGAAGACCACTGTAGTGGATGACCGGAGAATACTCTCTATGGTGAAGAAAAAAAACCCTGATAACAGCCCAACAGATCAAAAACACTCTCCTGGATGCAGGTGTAGATGTGTCAAAGTCTACCATACGCAGAAGACTACACCAGCAGGACTACAGAGGGTACACTACAAGATGCAAACCACTGATAAGCCTGAAGAACAGAAAGGCAAGATTACAGTTTGCTAAAAAGCACCTAAAAGAACCCCAAGAGTTCTGTAAAAAAAATATTGTGGACAGATGAGACAAAGATTAACATGTACCAGAGTGATGGAAAGACAAAAGTGTGGAGAAAAAAAATAAATGCCCATGATCCAAAGCATACCACCTCATCCATGAAACATGGTGGAGGGGGGTGTTATGGCTTGGGCCTGTATGGCTGCCAGTGGAACAGGCTCACTTGTCTTCATCGATGATGTGACTGCAGACAGAAGTAGAACAATGAATTCTGAAGTCTACAGAAATATTTTATCTGCTCAGATAAAACCAAATGCCTCCAAACTCATTGGACGGCACTTAATCACGCAACAAGACAATGACCCTAAACATACTGCTAGAGCAACAAAGGGGTTTTTGATGGCCAAAAAGTGGAAAAACCTTGACTGGCCGAGTCAATCACCAGATCTGAATCCAATTGAACATGCATTTTACATGCTGAAGAGGAGACTGAAGGCAATAAGTCCCCGAAACAAGCAGGAACTGAAGATGGCTGCAGTACAGGCCTGGCAGAGCATCACCAGGGAAGATACCCAGCGTCTGGTGATGGCGATGCATCGCAGACTTCAAGCAGTCATTGCATGCAAAGGATATGCGACCAAATATTAACAATGATTACTTTATTCTACATTATGTTAAACTGTCCAATGATTTTTGATGCCCGAAAATGGGGGGGGACCATGTACAAAAGCTTCTATAATTCGTAAACGGTTCATCCGATATGTATGAAAATACCCTCAAATTAAAGCTGACAGTCTGCACTTCACCCTCATTGTCATTGTATCCTTTCAAACTCAAAGTGCTAGAGTACAGAACCAAAATAACAAAAGAATGGTCACTGTCCAGTGAATTATGGAGCTCACTATATATATATATATATATATATATATATATATATATATATATATATATATATATATATATATATGAGAAAAAAAACATGGGGGATTGGAAGTGATTCAGACAATTACATTGATGGAAGTTACAATCTATCTGCAATATTAAAGCTGATCTACCCCCTAAATAAAAAAATAATAGAACCCTAACTCTAAGAAGAACCCTAATCCTAAGTAAAAACCTGCTGTCCTTGTCTGTTCCTAAGGCTAGAACTGAGATGGGGTAACCAATATTTTTCCCATAATGCCTCTTCATCCTGGAACATGCTTCAAAATATATTAAAGTTAGTGGAGTTAGTGTCCTTGCCTGTTTTTAAGACTGATCGACAACACTGTTTGTGACAGCTGCAGTTGTTTCTAATCTTCAATTGCCTCCCGAGTGGCGCAGTGGTCTAAGGCACTGCATCGCAGTGCTAGCTGTGCCACTAGAGATCCTGGATCGAATCCAGGCTCTGTCGTAGCCGGCCGCGACCGGGAGACCCATGGGGCGGCGCACAATTGGCCCAGGGTAGGGGAGAGAATGGCTGGCAGGGATGTTGGTAGAGCATGGCGTTTGCAACGCCAGGGTTGTGGGTTCGATTCCCACGGGGGGCCAGTATGAAAAAAAAAAATAATATAACGTATGCACTCTAACTGTAAGTCGCTCTGGATAAGAGCGTCTGCTAAATGACTAAAATGTAAAATGTAAATGTATGACTCTTTGTCTTTTGTGTATATTTTGTATTTTTCAGTAATATTTTATGCACACGCTGCTATTTCCCTGTTTTGCCTTCTTGCCAGGTCGCCCTCGCAAAATAGTTTAACCTCAATGGGTCTTACCTGGTTAAATAAAGGTAAATTTTTTGAATAATAAATAAAACTAAGAACCCTAAGTAAAACCCTAAGTAGAACCCTAACTCTAAGTAAAACTGTAGTGGGCAGAAATGTTTGATGTGTATATTATAAAATGTCAACTATAGTGCAACACGTAATAAGACTAAGCAATTAGCCTATTCAAATGTTTATCTGACTCCATAAAGGTTATTTAGCAATACGCAAGAACACCACAGTTGACTTACAGTAGTAGGCAATGGAGAAATGTCTAAGAATGAATTCTAAATGCAAATGTTTATTTAATTACTTTTGTCCAATGAAAGGATTCACATACAAGGCATGAAGCTTAAGTTACAAAGCATTACAGGCAATGTTCCCACTAAGCTGCGCGCGGGCGCCCAGTAGCCAGAGACGACCTGTTCCCACTAAGCTGCGCGCGGGCGCCCAGTAGCCAGAGACTACCTGTTCCCACTAAGCTGCGCGCGGGCGCCCAGTAGCCAGAGACTACCTGTTCCCACTAAGCTGCGCGCGGGCGCCCAGGAGCCAGAGACTACCTGTTCCCACTAAGCTGCGCGCGGGCGCCCAGGAGCCAGAGACTACCTGTTCCCACTAAGCTGCGCGCGGGCGCCCAGTAGCCAGAGACTACCTGTTCCCACTAAGCTGCGCGCGGGCGCCCAGTAGCCAGAGACTACCTGTTCCCACTAAGCTGCGCGCGGGCGCCCAGTAGCCAGAGACTACCTGTTCCCACTAAGCTGCGCGCGGGCGCCCAGTAGCCAGAGACTACCTGTTCCCACTAAGCTGCGCGCGGGCGCCCAGTAGCCAGAGACTACCTGTTCCCACTAAGCTGCGCGCGGGCGCCCAGTAGCCAGAGACTACCTGTTCCCACTAAGCTGCGCGCGGGCGCCCAGTAGCCAGAGACTACCTGTTCCCACTAAGCTGCGCGCGGGCGCCCAGTAGCCAGAGACTACCTGTTCCCACTAAGCTGCGCGCGGGCGCCCAGGAGCCAGAGACTACCTGTTCCCACTAAGCTGCGCGCGGGCGCCCAGGAGCCAGAGACTACCTGTTCCCACTAAGCTGCGCGCGGGCGCCCAGTAGCCAGAGACTACCTGTTCCCACTAAGCTGCGCGCGGGCGCCCAGTAGCCAGAGACTACCTGTTCCCACTAAGCTGCGCGCGGGCGCCCAGTAGCCAGAGACTACCTGTTCCCACTAAGCTGCGCGCGGGCGCCCAGTAGCCAGAGACTACCTGTTCCCACTAAGCTGCGCGCGGGCACCCAGTAGCCAGAGACTACCTTGGAGAGATGCACGGGATTGAACTTCATTCAACTTTCTAGGAGTTTTCCCTGTTAGTTAACGCTATCAACGTTTCCCTTTTACTGTGGCAATTGTGATCAAATCAACGCAATATTAGTCATTTCAATGCAACATACCGAAACTAAATGAACTATGCAAGAGATTTTGTTGTAGGCACAATGCATCGGAGTAGCATTCTATTGGGCACTTACTCTACACAGACCAGTGGGGCATAACCAATCAGAGCTGCAGTAGGCCTATATGCAAATAGACAATTGCCATATATGGATCTGTGCCATTCACTTTGAACTGGACTGTGTTTACAGCTGTGGTCATGAATAGATGCGCTTGTTTTGAGATCAAAGCAAGAGCTGCATGTGGCCACGTGTCTGTCAGTTAGAGTTTTTAGCCCAGGTATAGATAACTTGGAGTCAGCAATAGAGAATGATTGCTTCCTAGAAGAGCACAAAACGTGTACATTTCTAGACATCTTTGAAAAGCAAGTCACGTAAAGAGCTTATTTTGACTTAAACTGGCAGTGTTGTATTTTGAGACTGTCTTGAATAAGCTAAGTAGCCAATAGGCAGAGGGTAGTATCATTTGTCTGATTCTCTGTAATAATGGTATGGGAATAATAATGCATTTTATTTTGTAAAGTGGTTTCTTGCATCAAACAACACATTTTCAGTCACCTCCTTTGTCTGAAGGACAAGTGGATAAACAGGTTAATGTCAAGCCCTGCATATTTCTTCCAAAAGTCTCATGGAATGTAGGTCTACATTGAACACCACACATTGGCTGCTACTGTAGGCTGAATGATAGAACTGCTATTTCCATGTTAAAATGTTATGGGATGCATTTTCTCCATTGTTTTTGATGGTAGGCCACTCTGGTAGGCCTACATTATGATCAAATAGCCACAGTAGCCTACTTGGCCACTGTTAAAACTGTAACTTAAAGCGGGTACAGCCTCAGTGTTCACAGTAAACGCGCGCTGGAAGTTGCACAATCTTCACAACGTTCAAGTTTGCACTCAGTGCCGAAAGAATGTTGAGGGAACATGTATTACAAGGCATTATTCTAAGCATGAACAAAGAGATGCCTAGAAACCTAAGTAAAAGCACAGCTAAAAAGGTGTATTAAGATCTTAAAAATGTAAGATCTTTCTTAAAAGGGTGGGGGGGTGGGGGGTGTTGTGTATGCTAATGACCATTTGCAGTGAATAGGCCCATTTCGAGTCACATTCTGAGGTTTGTTATAACAGACTAAATAAAATGTGCTGGCACAACAACAGACATCCAGGCTGATTTTCAAAACATCAAACACATCCATTATGATTAGAATAATTTGTTTTGGTTAACTAGCTAGTCCCTGAGCAGAACAGAACCAAAGTGTGTGTGTGTGTGTGTGTGTGTGTGTGTGTGAGTGAGTGCGTGTGTGTGTGTGCGTGTGCGTGCGTCTGTGTATTCTATTGTTTGTGAATGTTATTTTGGTGAGTGCACTCATGGTGATGTCACCTTTTACTGAGGTGTTCCATGTGTTCTACCCGTATGCATCCTCCTAACCATACATTTCTGACATCGCTGTAATGTTAATGGTCACACTGACGCCCACCAAGCGTCTGTCTGTGTGTGTGTGTGTCACATTGCGCACACGACACGTGGGAATGAGACATGTTTTCTACCAGACCTCTATCTCGGTGTGTTTATCCTCCGTTTGTTGACGTCTCTGTCTGTCATCATGGCGATTAGGATCAGATTCAGAGATTAAAACTAAATCTCAACTCAATGATAAATGTTTTGCCTTCGTGGGATCAACTCTCTTCTCATTAAATGTTATCTAAGACTCATTTGACTGAGAGAAACCCACAAGATGGCGTCGTTATGGTGTAAAGTACCATGTTGACCAAGTTTACGATGGCCCTAAAGAATCAAAACAGCCAACCTGGTTTCAGTGAAGAGACAAATTCATGATCCTTGTTGTTGTGTGGTTGAGTGGAGCTGGAGGATAGATTTGAGTGGAGCTGGAGGATAGATTTGAGTGGTTGAGTGGAGCTGGAGGATAGATTTGAGTGGTTGAGTGGAGCTGGAGGATAGATTTGAGTGGTTGAGTGGAGCTGGAGGATAGATTTGAGTGGAGCTGGAGGATAGATTTGAGTGGTTGTGTCTCTCTCGGTCTCTCCTCAGGTTTCCAGGAGTGCCACAAGACCTACAGGAGGAGGCTGGGCTACAGTACAGATTTGAAGTCTATGAAAGCATCGACCAATGAGCTGTAAGCACACCCAGGAAAACACCCGGCGTTGTCATCTATCATGTCAATATTTACTGCTGCTCACAGTTGTCGCTCAAATGTAATGAATGAAATTGTTCAATTCCATTATAAATTAATTGTGTGATCTTTTCACTGAAATGAAACCTGGTTGTTTTGTGTTTTCTCTTCCTCCTAATTCCTTTCTGTTTAGTTATTATTTTTATGTCTTTTGGATATTTTTTCACAGAAACAGACGTTACATATTTATACATGTATATAGATACACAACAACAACAACTTATAAAACAGTGGGTTTCTAAGGCAGATTGTTCCACTCTGGCTGCGCCTAAATGGGCCCTGGTCAAAAGTAGTGCACTATGTAGGGAACAGGGTGTCATAGGGCTCTGGTCTAAAGTAGTGCACTATGTAGGGAACAGGGTGTCATAGTGCTCTGGTCTAAAGTAGTGCACTATGTAGGGAACAGGGTGTCATAGGGCTCTGGTCTAAAGTAGTGCACTATGTAGGGAACAGGGTGTCATAGGGCTCTGGTCTAAAGTAGTGCACTATGTAGGGAACAGGGTGTCATAGGGCTCTGGTCTAAAGTAGTGCACTATGTAGGGAACAGGGTGTCATAGGGCTCTGGTCAAAAGTAGTGCACTATGTAGGGAACAGGGTGTCATAGGGCTCTGGTCAAAAGTAGTGCACTATGTAGGGGATAGGGTGACATTTGGGATGTAACCTGAGACGCGACTGCTCATTCCAAATGAGACATGACATGAATATGCAGAAGGTTTCGACTAGAAAGCGAATGAACTCACCAGGTGTCTGGAGTGGCCATCACAGGAGAGGCGTACACCTATCCATCTCACACACACACACACACTGTGGCTTTAATCAAGCTAACCCGGCTCAATTAGGCCCCACTGCCCTGGCTGTAACGCGCCAGAACACACACAGAACACACACCTTGATTGGCACTGAAAGGAGAGTCATTATACAGAGATCAGAGCCATGTGCCCCTCACCCTGCCGTGCACACCGAGAGAGTCTGGAAAATGTCAAAGAGAAGAGACATTAGCATTTCTGATGAGACACTGGTCTTATCACACAAACGCACGGTGAGTGAGCACCTGTTTCTGGAGGAGATGCACAAAAGCCGACTTGGAGGCGGATAGAAGTCTGTATATAATGAGATGAATCTACAGAACTGAATCCCATTTGTACGCTAGCCTTTTGATAAATGTGATATTTAAACACACACTTGTGGCTTTTAAATCTGACCTCGGTCAGCCTTTCTTTGTCCATAAGTAAACTACTTCTGTATGACTCTTCGTGAGTATTTAGTCTTTGACGTGGAGGACGGGCTATAGAGGGTATTTTTCCTGTCTACGCTGGCTGAGCACAGTGCTGACAGGGTGTTGGGCTGTAGCCTTTAAGAGTTGTTCTTTATTACCTCGACTGCCGAGTCGTCATGCAGATCGATGGGAGACTTGAACAGACAGTTCAACACCTGGAATACTCAAAACAGTTATGGCATACTGCCAGGGAAACACGCACGTGCACTCTCTCTCTCTCATACACATATACACACACCCACAGTGTGAGAGTTTTCAATACAAAATAAGACGAGGGGAGTGTTTACCTGTGCACAACCTCTACTTCAGACCCATGTTTTGTACCATCAGAGTTGTGGGAATAATATAATGACTTTTCATTGGCTGTCCTGTGTTCTTCACTGAGAGACCATCAGTCCTGATTATTACCTCTCCTCCTCGCCGTCAACATTCTCCTCTCCTCCTCGCTGTCAACATTCTCCTCTCCTCCTCGCTGTCAACATTCTCCTCTCCTCCTCGCTGTCAACATTCTCCTCTCCTCCTCGCTGTCAACATTCTCCTCTCCTCCTCGCTGTCAACATTCTCCTCTCCTCCTCGCTGTCAACATTCTCCTCTCCTCCTCGCTGTCAACATTCTCCTCCTCCTCGCTGTCAACATTCTCCTCTCCAGTCTACTCACTGTTTTCTCTCCGTCGCACTCACTCTCCCTCTCTGTCTCTCTCTCTGTCTCTCTCTCCTCCCTCTTTCTCTCTCCCCTCTCTCTCTCCTCCCTCTCTCTCTTCCCTCTCTCTCGCTCTGTCTCTTCCCTCTCTCTCTCCTCCCTGTCTCTCTCCCCTCTCTCTCTCTCCTCTCTCTCTCTCTCCTTCTCTTCCCTCTCTCGCTCTCTCTGTCTCTTCCCTCTGTCTCCCTCTGTCTCTCTCTTCCCTCTCTGTCTCTCTCTCCCTCTCTCTCTTCCCTCTCTTTAAAGTGACAGGGTTGTTTGCTTTCTCTTCCTAGCTAGCCATCAGAATGGTCACACCTGCTCTACTCCTCTCCCTCTCTACCTCTTTCTCAACCATAGATCACACTATCGATCCTCTCCTTCCTCTTGTGTTCCTCAGGGGTTTTGTTCTTTAGTGGGCATCCTTTGGTGCATTATCAACTGTTCAACCAGGATGTATAACAGCGAAGAGAACCACAGGTGATTTTATGGGTACAGGGCCATACAACTCAAGGTAAGTCCCTTCATTGAAACAACGTATCTACATGCTGTGAATACATGTGAGTATTCAAAACAAACAAAAGTATACTGAACAGGGTTACGGTCAATACCATTAAAATTCTAACCAGAAAGTAAACCAAATTCCAATTTGACATTTTCCTAATTGAAAAGCATTGGAGATAATTGGATTTTAGAATTTCTGTGTGAGCGAGTGAAAAAGAATGGACTTTTGTTTCCATTAGCACTTTACAAGACTTTATGCTATGTTTGTTGCTTTTTTATTCTGTTATGTCTGTTTTTTTGCGAGCTTATAGTTTTATACGCTGAAGTGTGTAAAGCCGTTCCTGGGAAATCTGAGTGCAATATATTGGCACTTCTCTTAAGTATTACCTTAGTCATGATTACTGATGCATAAATCAATTGTAGGAATGGGAAAGTAGACGTCATCATCTCCTAACCACAGTCTATTCCTTCTACTCAAGTCTCTGATCGTTATGGAAAATATTGCTTACAATAACCACCTTTCTACGTGCAAACTGAAAAATGCCCTGCAAACACACAGACACACACATCCCCACTTGAAGTTGCTATCAGTCTTTTGAAGGAGGGGAATTTTATTTTTGTGTTGTTTTTCTTTAGGGGGGTAGATCAGCTTTAATATTGCAGATTGTAACTTCCATCAATGTAATTGTCTGCATCACTTCCAATCCCCCACATTTTTTTTTCCCCCTCGCAAATATATATAAGGAGGGGAAATTGAATTGTGGGGTACAATTTTTTTTTTACTTCAAATGGTTTAGTAGGAGATGTATTGAAGCATATTAAAGAACCAATGTTGCCTACCTATTAATCTACTACTAAGACACATACACAGTAACCCCAACTTTAACCAATGAATTCTAACAGTTAATGAACATATTTCAATGATGGATAATGTATCTCTAATGTTTAATTGATGGTTAATCAACTAAATTATAAAGCCTTTATAAAAGTAACCTTACTCAGAGTATTGAAACCTACAACATCATCTCAACCCTGCTCCATCATCTCAACCCTGCTCCATCATCTCAACCCTGCTCCATCATCTCAACCCTGCTCCATCATCTCAACCCTGCTCCATCATCTCAACCCTGCTCCATCTAGAAAGGAGACTGCCCCCCCCCCCCCCCCCCCCCAGTGTTCAGTTGACTCATGCGGAGTGCTTTTTTACCGTCGCCAATACACATGCAGTAAGAACCAGCCACCTTTTCATTTGTCTGACTGACACTGTTGCCCTGCTGTAATGACGCAGAAACGTGTGTGTGTGTGTGTGTGTGTGTGTGTGTGTGTGTAAAGAGCGAAGCAGGTATGAGGTGTGTATTTCATCCAACTAAATATGGCATAAAGCCAGTGAGGCCTACGCTAAGCTTCCTCAAAGAGAATACCTTCTTTTGATAAACAAACGTATCTCAAATAGATGTATGCTATGTTGTGGTCTGTGGACCATTTGTAGTTCATGTCCCTCTTTAGCGTGTGTGTGTTCGTGTGTGCGTGCTCTGAGTAGGATGAGGTCAGCCTGCCTTACACTGAAAATTGCACATTGAAATATCACTTAGAAATAACACATCCAGCTGGGTGAGAAGTGCTGGATTTGACCTCGCGTCTCACACGCACACCACACAACACAGACATGTTCACACTTTCCATCTCCATGACAGATTCTAAATGTATCCTGATATCAACAACAAACATGGGGGGTAAAAAGGCTTGTCTACATTTAAGGAAATTCATTATAATTTACTTTTAAGGACATTGCATTGCTCAGATTTTTTTTTCTCAAATTTAATGATTTAGGTCAGATCCTTTGAATCAATTTCCAAAATGAAAATGTATTAAACCCCAACCATGCGTGGTCCATGTTGTTGAAATAAGGTTCTGTTTTTCTGTCAAATGGAACAAACAAAAAAACCTCATAGGCTTGTCGACGACATAATGACTATCCTTTTTCATCTGCGAGATGTGTTTCCCCACTCACTCTCCAACACCAAAACGGTTTGAAATGGTTTCTGTATTCCCCTGGCTACCACTGAGTTGGCTGTCATCAGGCATTCTCTCTGTACTCAGGCAGTTTGAAGGCCAGGGCCGGCTCTCAAAGCAAAGCGCTAACAGAAGTTGAAATGCCACCCTACAGAGAGAGCCCTCGTCACCAGCTCTGCTGCCTCTGAGGCTGCGTCTCAAATTGCACCCTATTCCCTAAATACACTTAGTTTACAAAACATTAGGAACACCTTCCTAATGTTGAGTTGCACCCCCCCTTTTTCCTTCAGAACAGCCTCAATTCGTCCTGGGCATGGACTCTACAAGGTGTCGAAAGCGTTCCACAGGGATGCTTGCCCATGTTGACTCCAATGCTTCCCACAGTTGTCTCAAGTTGGCTGGATGTCCTTTGGGTGGTGGACCATTCTTGATAGACACAGGAAACTGTTGAGCCCTATAAAACACATGCAGCCACA